CTTGAACTCTCGACCTCAGGTAATCCACCTGCCTTGGCCTCCAAAGTGTTTGGATTACAGGCATGAGCCACCACGCCCGGCCAAATTGACTTTCAAGACAGACTGAATTGATGTAAAAAAGAATGTTAAATTATTTTTATTTTTTATTTTTTTAAGAGATGCGGTTTCTTCTTGTTGGTCAGCCTGGTCTCGAACTCCTGACCTCAGGTGATCCACCCGCCTCAGCCTCCCAAAGTGCTGGGATTACAGGTGTGAGCCACCACACCCCACCCAAGAATGTTAAATTATATTTTCCATTTTAAGTAAACGTTAACTAAATTAAACCCTTTGTAACCTAAGGCTTACTCTACTTTTATTTATTTATTTATTTATTTTTATTACGACTAGTCAAGTGCAGTAGTGAGAAGGGGGGAAAGAGTAGAACAGGAGTTCAATCTGTAACTGACTGTGAACAATCAATTGAGGCAACTCACTACCTTCGGACCAGCCTCTACTTTTATTTATTTATTGGTAGACAAGGTCTTGCTCTGTCACCCAGGCTAGAATGCAGTGGTGCAATCACAACACTGTAGCTTTGGCTGGGCATGGTGGCTCACGCCTGTAATCCCAGCACTTTGGGAGGCCGAGGCAGGTGGATCACCTGAGGTCAGGAGTGAGACCATCCTGGCCAACATGATGAAACCCTGTCTCTACTAAAAATACAAAAGTTAGCCGGGCACGGTGGCACACCCTTGTAATTTTACCTAATTGGGAGGCTGACATGGGAGAATTGCTTGAAACCAGGAGTCCGATGCTGCTGTGAGCCAAGATCAAGCCACTGCACTCCAGCCTGGGTGACAGAGCAAAACCCCATCTCAAAACAAACAAACAAACAAACAAAAAACAAAACAGTGCAGCCTTGAACTCCCGGCCTCAATCCATTCCCCTTTTTTAGCCTTCAGAGTTGCTAGGACTACTGGTGCTGCCACTACTCTCAGCTAATTGTTTAATTTTTTTTTTTTTGCAGTGACGGAGACTTGCTATGCTGCCCAGACTGGTCCTGGGTTCAAGCCATCCTCCCATTTTGGCCTCCCAAAGTGTTAGGATTATAGGTGTGAGCCACTGCACCCAGCCTATTCTACTTTTAGATAACAAAGGGTGTCATGATAAAACAAAGTGTTAACTGAAATTTTTTATCTTTTAGACAAGTGTCTTGCTCTGTTGCCAGGCTGGAGTACAGTGGCCAATTTCAGCTCACTTCAACCTCTGCCTCCCGGGTTCAAGCTATTCTCCTGCCTCAGCTCCAAAAGTAGCTGGAACTACAGGTGGGTGCACCACACCCAGCTAATTTTTGTATTTTTAGTAGAGATGGGGTTTCACCACATAGGCCAAGGTGTTCTCGATTTCCTGACCTCGTGATCCGCCCGCCTCAGCCTCCCCCAAAGTGCTGGGATTACAGGCTGGAGTTATCGCGCCTGGCCCTTTTGGTTTGTTTGTTTTGAGACAGAGTCCCACTCTCTGTCGCCCAGGCCGGTGTGCAATAGCATGATCTTGGCTCACTACAACCTCCGCCTCTCAGGTTCAAGCAAGTCTCCTGCCTCAGTTTCCCGAGTAGCTGGGATTACGGGAGCACACCACCACACCTGGCTGATTTTTGTATTTTTAGTAGAGATGGGGTTTTCAATGTTGGCCAGGCTGGTCTCGAACTCCTGAGGTCAGGTGATCCGCCCACCTCAGCCTCCCAAGTACTGGGATTACAGAGTTGAGCCACTGCACCCGGCTTTGTGTCTATTTTTTCTTTCTAAGTTAAGTTAAAAGCTTCCATCAGATTCTAAAAGGTGTTCCTGGCCAGGCGCAATGACTCAGGCCTGTAATCCCAGCACTTTGGGAGGCCGAGGCGGGTGTATCACAAGGTCAAGAGATCGAGACCATCCTGGTCAATATGGTGAAACCCCGTCTCTACTAAAAATACAAAAAATTAGCTGGGCATGGTGGCACGTGCCTGTAATCCCAGCTACTCAGGAGGCTGAGGCAGGAGAATTGCCTGAAGCAAGGAAGCGGAGGTTGCGGTGAGCCGAGATCGTGCCATTGCACTCCAGCCTGGGTAACAAGAGCAAAACTCCATCTCAAAAAAAAAAAAAAAGTACAAAAATTAGCTAGGGCATGGTGGTGTGCACTTGTAATTCTCAGTACTCAGGAGTCTGAGACAGGAATCGCTTGAACTGGGAGGCAGAGGTTGCAGTGAGCCAAGACAGGGTCACTGCATTCCAGCCTGGGTGACAGAGCAAGACTCTATCTCAAAATACATATATATATAAAAGAAAAAGAAAAAACAACTTTATTCTTGGATAGAACATCACAGAGATGACAGTTCTTTCCAAATTAATGTATAAATTCAACACAACCCTTTCGTTCTATCAAGTTTTTAATTTTTATTTATTTATTTATTTTTTCTTTTTTGAGGCAGAGTCTTTCTGCTGCCAGGCTGGAGTGCAGTGTCAGGATCTCAGCTCACTGCAATCTCTGCCTCCTGGGTTCAAGTGATTCTCCTAAGTTTTTTGTTTTTTAGAGCAGTTTCAGGTTCATAGCAAAAGTGAGTTTTTTTTCCCTGGAGATAGATAATACAATTCTATTATTAAACATTTTCTAATTTTGGTTAGCTATGGTGGCTCACACCTATAATCCCAGCACTATGGGAGGCCAAGGTGGACTAATCAGTTGAGGTCAGGAGTTCGAGACCAGCCTGACTAACATGGTGAAACCCTGTTTTGACTAAAAATAGAAAAATTAGCCAGGTGTGGTGGCAGACGCCTGTAATCCCAGGTATTTGGGAGGCTGAGGCAGGAGAGTCACTGGAACCCAGGAGGCAGAGGTTGCAGTGAGTTGAGATCATGCCATTGCACTCCAGCCTGGGCGACAGAGTTAGACTAAAAAAAAAAAAATCTAATTTTTAGGGAATGAAAAATAATATAATTCTAAATTTTATATGCAAAATTAAACCTGTTGGAATAGCTAGGAAAATGTTTGAGGGGAAAGCTACAAAGAAAGACCATCCTTACCAGACATTAAAACATACTGTAAGACCTCACAGGGCCAGGTGTGGTGGCTTACCTATAATCCCAGCACTTCAGAAGTTCAGGGCAGGCAGATTGCGTGAGCCCAGAAGTTTGAGACCAGCCTGGGCAACATGACAAACCCAGACGCTAAAAAAATACAAAAATTAGCCAGGCCTGTGTTCCCAGCTACTGGGGAGGCAGGAGGTAGGAGGATTGTTTGTGTCTGGGATGTCAAGGCTACAGTGAGTTGTGATCATGCCACTGCACTCTAGCCCAGGTGACCCTGACTCTAAAAAGTAAAAATAAAAAGAGATTTCATAATTAGAACAGTAGCATTTTTGTCTATGAATAGGCAGGCAGATCAGTGGAAGAGAAAGCATAGAAGTAGACTGATATATGTACGGAAAATTAATATTTAATAAAGATAGCCTTCTGAAATCATTGGAGAAATGATGAATGTTTTAAGAAATGATGTTGGGTTTTCCACCATCTTTCCGTGCCACCACAATGGTGTGCATGAATGTCCTGGCTGATGCTCTCAAGAGCATCAACAATGCCAAAAAGAGAGGCAAACACCAGGTGCCTTTTAGGCCGGGCTCCAAAGTCATTGTCCGGTTTCTCACTGTGATGATGAACCACGGTTACATTGGCGAATTTGAAATTATTGATGATCACAGAGCTGGGAAAATTGTTGTGAACCTCACAGGCAGGCTAAACAAGTGTGGTATGATCAGCCCTAGATTGGATGTGCAACTTGAAGATCTAGAAAAATGGCAGAATAATCTGCTTCCGTCCTGCCAGTTTGGTTTTATTGCATTGACAACCTCAGCTGGCATCATGGACCATAAAGAAGCAAGTCGAAAACACACAGGAGGCCGGGTGCAGTGGCTCAAGCCTGTAATCCCAGCACTTTGGGAGGTCGAGGCCGGTGGATCACAAGGTCAAGAGATCGAGACCATCCCGGTCAACATGGTGAATGAAACCCCGTCTCTACTAAAAATACAAAAAATTAGCTGGGCGTGGTGGCGTGTGCCTGTAATCCCGGCTACTCGGGAGGCTGAGGCAGGAGAATTGCCTGAACCCAAGAGGCAGAGGTTGCAGTGAGCTGAGATCGCGCCATTGCACTCCAGCCTGGGTAACAAGAGCGAAACTCCATCTCAAAAAAAAAAAAAAAAAGAAAACACACAGGAGGGAAAATCCTGGGATTCTTTTTCTAGGGATGTAATACATATATTTACAAATAAAATGCCTCATGGACAGAAAAAAAAAAAAAGAAAAAAGAAATGATATTGGGACAGCTGATGACCATACATTTAAATACAGAATAATGCAGTGATATAAATGCAATTAATAAAACCATGCCACTATGTAAATTTCTTTATAACTTGGATGTGGGAATATCCTTTCCAAACACTAAAAATCTAGTTACAATAAAAGAGACTGATAATAGAAATAAAAACTGACAAACACCATAAACAAAATCAGAAGAGAAATGATAAACTAAAGAAAATATTTATAAACATATATCACAAATAAAGGGTGCTCCCTACACATGTGTGCACACCATATATATATGTAGGTGTATATAGCGTACACACATATACACAAACATACACATGTACATACAGTCTCTCTGTCTCTTGAAAATAAAAGCTGGGCTGGGTATGGTGGCTCACACCTGTGATCCCAGCACTTTGGGAAGCTGAGGTGAGAGAATTGCTTGAGCCCAGAAATTGGAGACCAGCCTGGGCAAAATGTGACATCCTATCTCTAATAAAAATAAATAAGTAAATAAATTAGCCAAGCACGGTGGCACACACCTGAAGACCAAGCTACCTGGGAAGCTGAGGTGAGATAATCGCTTGAGCCTGAAGATCAAGACTGCAGCAAGCCATGATTTGCCACTGTACTGCAGCCTGGATGACAGAGTGAGACCCTGTCTCAAATGAATAAATAAATAGGCTGACCATTTTTTTGTTCACAAGCACAATGCTTGAATTTTCATGCTCATGTGAGATATATCTCCTTTGAACCTTGTTACACCAGCAAGTTACCTGTCTGATGTGAAAAGAAAATAACGGAGAAAAAACTGTGTGTATATATATGTTTGTGTGTGTGTATATGTGTGTGTGTGTGTGTGTATATATATATATACACACACACACACACACACACACACACACACAGGGTGGGAAAGAAAAAGGTAAAGCTTTATACAGGTGAGTGCCAGTTAATAAATGTACAAATGATAGAATTAGAAAATCAGGCCAGACACGGTGGCTCACTTCTGTAATCCCAGCACTTTGGCAGGTCGAGGTGGGAGGATCATTTGAGGTCAGGAGTTTGAGACCAGCCTGGCCAATATGGGGAAACCCTGTGTCTACTAAAAACACAAAAATCAGTCAGGCGTGGTGGTGTGTGCCTATAATCCCAGCTACTTGGGAAGCTGAGGCAGGAGAGTCACTTGAACCAGGGAGGTGGAGGCTGCATTGATATCACGCCACTGCACTGCCGCCTGGGAGAGAGAGCGAGACTCCATCTCAAAAAAAAAAAAGAAAAATTAGAAAATCATTTTTTTACAATTCCCAGTATAATAACAGATTCACACAACGTTTATCAACAGATTCCATAGCCATTGGGCAAACAGTTAATGGAGAAAAGGATATTTGCATGGACTCAAAGTATCATGCCAGAGGTTACTAATTATTAAAAAAAAAAAAAAAAAGAATAGCTGGGCAAGGTGGCTCATGCCTGCTGCAATCCCTGCACTTTGGGAGGCTAAGGTGGGTGGATCATGAGGACAGGAGTTCCAGACCAGCCTGGCCAACATAGTGAAACCCCATCTCTACTAAAATTATAAAAATTAGTCAGGTGTGGTGGCGGGTGCCTGTAGTCCCAGCTACTCAGGAGGCTGAGGCAGGAGAATCACTTGAACCCGGGAGATGGAGGTTGCAGTGAGCTGAGATTACGCCACTGCACTCCAGCGTAGGCAACAGAGCGAGACTCTGTCTCAAAATACATAAATAAATAATAAATAAAAGAATATTTGTGGCCAGGCGCGGTGGCTCAAGCCTGTAATCCCAGCACTTTGGGAGGCCGAGGCGGGTGGATCACGAGGTCAAGAGATCAAGACCATTCTGGTCAACATGGTGAAACCCTGTCTCTACTAAAAATACAAAAGTTAGCTGGGCATGGTGGCGCACGCCTGTAGTCCCAGCTACTCGGAAAGCTGAGGCATGAGAATTGCTTGAACCCAGGAGGTGGAGGTTGCGGTGAGCCGAGATCTCACCATTGCACTCCAGCCTGGGTAACAAGAGTGAAACTCTGTCTCAGAAAAACAAACAAACAAAAAAGAATATACAAGATGATTTAGGAGTGAGGTGTCATGATGACTGCAACCTTCTATCAAGGAGTTCAAACAAACAAGGAAATAGGGCTTAGACACACAGAGATAAACCAAAAAGGTATATGGGTGTTCACTGTATGATTATTTCAATTTTTGGTAAGTATACATTTATTTAAATACAAATTAAAATACCCAAGCCTATAATTTGAAAAAGGAGCCGACTGTGGCTAAATCATATTCAATTATGATAAAACAAAACATTAGAAAAAGTTTACCTTTAAGTAAGTGCAGTGGTGCAATCTCAGCTCACTGCAAACTTCACCTCCCAGGTTTAGGTGATTCTCCTGCCACAGCTTCTTGAGCACCTGGAATTACAGCCATACATCACCGTGCCCAGCTAATTTTTGTATTTTTGGTAGAGATGGGGTTTCACCATTTTTGGCCAGGCTGGTCTCAAAATACTGACCTCAAATGATCCACCCGCCTCCACCTCCCAAAGTGCTGGGATTATTCTTTTCTTCTTGAGACAGAGTCTTGCTCTTTCGCCCAGGCTGGAGTGTAGTGGTGCAATCTCAGCTCACTGCAACCTCCACCTCCCCGGTTCAAGCAATCCTTCTGCCTTAGCTTCCAGAGTAGCTGGGATTACAGGTGTGTGCCACCACGCCTGGCTAATTTTTGTATTTTTTTGATACAGATATGGTTTCACCATGTTGGCCAGGCTGGTCTCAAACCCCTGACCTTAAGTGGTCCACCCACTTTGGCCTCCCAAACTGCTGGGATTACAGGCATGAGCTATTCTGCCTGGACCTCGCCCTGCCAGAACTAGTAAGCATGCCTTCAATCTTGAGATGTTTGGGAGGGGAAAAAAGTCACCTCCCAAAAAATAGTAGATAGTGAGCTTCCTGTGGCCCCTCACTGCCAATTCCTCTATGACATGATAAACGAAGAAACCTCTGGATGAAAAAAAAAAAAAAAACAATACCCAAGTGCGGTGGCTCACGCCTGTAATCCCAGCACTTTGGGAGGCTGAGTCAGGTGAACCACTTGAGGCTGGGAGTTCGAGACCAGCCTAACCAACATGGAGAAACCCCATCTCTACTAAAAATACAAAATTAGCTGTGTGTGGTTGCACATGACTCTAATCCCAGCTACTTGGGTGGCTGAGTCAGGACAATGGCTTGAACCCAGGAGGCGGAGGTTGTGGTGAGCCAAGATCACTCCATTGCACTCCAGCCTGGGCAACAAGAGTGAAACTTCTCTCTCAAAAAATAAAAATAAAAATAAAAAATATTCTGATACAAGTATTCTTTTGAAAGCAATTATGGCTCACGCCTATAATCCCAGCATTTTGGGAGGCCAAGGCAGATAATTTGAGGTTGGGAGTTCAAGACCAGCCTGGCCAACATGGTGAAATCACGTCTCTAGTAAAAATACAAAAATTAGCCAGGTGTGGTGGCAGGTGCCTGTAGTCTCAGCTACTCGGGAGGCTGAGGCAGAAGAATCACTTGAACCCAGAAGGCAGAGGTTGCGGTGAGGGGAGATGGACTCCAGCCTGGGCAACAGTGCGAGACTTTGTCTTAAACAAAGAAAAAGAAAAAGAAAAGAAAAACCACTGTAGTATTTTCATATCGAGGACCTCATTTATGACATTCACAAAGATTTAGATACATTCCTAAACAAAAGCTTTAAACTAGGACATTAAAGAAAACTAAGAGCTGGTCTGAGTGCAGTGGTGTTTACAACTAATTGATCACAACCAGTTACAGATTTCTTCATTCCTTCTCCACTCCCACTGCTTCACTTGATTAACCAGAAAGGAAGAAGGAAGGAAGGCAAGGAGGGAGAGGAAGAAGAAGGGGAAGGAGAAGAAGAAGGAGTGGAGAAGAAAGAAGAAGAAGACAGAGGAGGAGGAGGAAGAGGAAGAAAGCTAAGAGCAGCTTGGGAACTTTAGAGGCTGGGTGTGGTGGTTCACCCCTGTAATCCTAGCACTTTGGAAGGCTGGGGAGGGAGGATCATGAAGTCAGAAGATTGAGACCACCTGGCTAACATGGTGAAACCCCTCTCTACTAAAAATACAAAAAATTAGCCAGGCGTGGTGGCATGTGCCTGTAGTCCCAGTTACTCAGGAGGCTGAGGCTGGCGAATCACTTGAACCCAGTAAGTGGAGGTTGCAGTGAGCCAAGATGGCACCATTGCACTCCAGCCTGGGTGACAAAGCAAGACTCAGTCTCAAAATAAATAAATAAATAGGCCGGGGCGCGGTGGCTCACGCCTATAATCCCAGCACTTGGGGAGGCCAAGGCGGGTGGATCACGAGGTCAAGAGATCGAGACCATCCTGGTCAACAAGGTGAAACCCCGTCTCTACTAAAAATACAAAAATTAGCTGGGCATGATGGTGCGTGCCTGTAGTCCCAGCTACTTGGGAGGCTGAGGCAGGAGAACTGCTTGAACCCAGAAGGCAGAGGTTGCAGTGAGCTGAGATCGTGCCATTGCACTCCAGTCTGGGTAACAACAGCGAAACTCCAACTCAATAAATAAATAAATAAATAAATAAATAACAACATGAATGGCATTTATATGCTGCCTCTCAAGGGGCAGGCAAGGACCCACATTATGCATCCATGTCTCCTCCACAAGGCTCTGCACATTTTGGGGTATAAATATTTGTTGAATAAATAAGTAAACATTATTTCACCAAATGTTTTTTGATGACACTTACCAGAGAAAGAGTTGTAGGCTTCAAACAAATCCAGTTCGAATCATACCCAGTACATGCATGCCTTTACAGAAAAGTATATCTGCTATAGTCACTATTTTTAGAATCTAGGGATCATATAAATCTTTAGTTGTTATTGTTAGCTTACTTGCTAACAACACAATGAAACCAATGACATTTCACTACATTTTGAATGGTGCTAACTATTTCAAGTAACTCGTCATGAAATAATTGTAAAAATGAGGGATCCCAGCCTGGTATGGTGCTGTGTCTCTGTAATCCCAGCTACTCAGGAGACTGAAGTGGAAGGATTACTTGACCCCAGGAGTTTGAGGCCAGCCTGGGCAGCATAGCCAGCCCTCATCTCAAAACAAACAAACAAACAAAAGTATCCTATAGTAGCCAAAACATATGTTTTGCTACTGGAATTATGGCTATTTTATTTTATTTTATAAAGACGGGGTTTCACCATGTTGGTCAGGCTGGTTTTGAACTCCCGACCTCAGGTGATCCACCCACCTTGGCCTCCAAAGTGCTTGGATTACAGGCGTGAGCCACCACGCCCAGCCCTCTATAGCTATTTTAAAACAGAAGATGAAATAAATTTAATGTAACTTCCTAGAATTTCATTTAATATTACATGAGATTCTCAGCAATTCTACTTTTCAACTGGAGAATTACTGTTGAAGGTGTTTAGATTACAGATTGCTCTTTTTCAGGCCAGTTTTGCCATTTTTTTCTCTTCTTTTTTTTTTTGAGACGGAGTTTCCCTCTTGTTACCCAGGCTGGAGTGCAATGACCCGATCTCAGTTCACGCAACCTCCGCTTCCTGGGTTCAGGCAATTCTCCTGCCTCAGCCTCCTGAGTAGCTGGGATTACAGGCATGCGCCACTATGCCCAGCTAATTTTTTGTATTTTTAGTAGAGACGGGGTTTCACCATGTTGACCAGGATGGTCTCGATCTCTTGACCTCGTGATCCACCTGCCTCAGCTTCCCAAA